CCCTTAATTATTCATAAGTTTAAGCCTTAATTTTTTTATTAAATGGGTGAATTATATAAAAATTCTCCCCCTGTACAGTCATCATGAATGGGGAAATTAGCTACGGAGACCCAAACCTTTTTTGTACCAGGGGTACTTTTGGGGGTTATATTTTACTATCTATTCTTCTTCTCCAAACATAAATCATTTCAGTGGCAAGTTTTAAAATCTTTTTTAAAATGTACTTTTCCATGTTGACTTTAACCAGAAGTGAATCTAAACACATGAGGTAACTCACAGAGCACCTTATCATTAGATGGGAGGACACCACGACATTTACTTGTGCTTCGTCACTCTCTTCACCCATATTTTTGGAAACTTCAAACACACACACACTCACAGAACAGAAACTTCAGGGCCTGTTGTAGTTTCTCCTCTCTAAACACATTAGGCAATGATTAACTAGTGCCTTGTTTCCTCTCTGGGAGCCACTTCACCTCCGGCCGTCGCTGTGTGATCTTGTGCTGTGCGATTAGCCGACCTCTCCCTCCTCCCTCCTCCCTCCATCAATATAATACTTGAGTGATCAAACCCTGAAACCCCCAACAGTCAGCCAGTCAGCTTCAAAGCACCTGCAGACCGACTCCTCCCTCCTCATGACCACATTAGTCTGTCTGTCCCCACTGAAAACTGATTCTTACTGGCTGCCAGACTTTTTTTCTTCTAGCAGTGTGCAACGTGTGTATTAATGAAAGCCTTTGATGTCTGAGGAAACAACCCACCTACCTACTACAACACCTCACTGCTAAACACCAGCTAACAGGTCCATTTTGGCTGTTTTTGTTACCTCAGAATGAGCCACTTATATCTACATAGGGAGCAGGTCCATGTCTACAGTAGCGCAGAATAGACAAACCAAATATTTGCTGGAAATCAATAATACATCTTTCAGTAACATTTGTAGAGCCTTATAACTGCAAACTTTATTTTGCGGTCACTGACGTTACTGGTGGGATTAAATGGGTTAATTGGAAGTTAACTAATTAAACAGTACATCTATTCTCTAAAGGAAGTCAGCTTTCACGTCACGTTGTCCTGTAGGAAACTTCCTAGAATCTATTAGAAAAGTACAGACCCATAAATAATCAGTTTAGCTGCTGTTGCCTGTAATGTTCCTTCCAATCACTACGGCTCATAATATAGTTCAGAGTATTGTTTGTTTGCTTCAGGCTGCACGAGTCCACGTCTGCCTGTGTTTCTCTCTCCAGCCTGTCTGGCACCAAATCTGCAGGCCACAGGGTTCTGTAAACAACCCTCGCCTGTAGATATGTTTACAGCTTTTCTTCGAAAAACACACTTCATTGTATCCGTGCTGCTCCTGATAATCGGCCCGCGGGTCACAATGCTTGATCTGAAGCCGGCTGAGGTCATCCACTTCCTGCTAATTGTCAGGGAGATCAGTGTGGTAGTGGTGATAAAGTGGGCCAGGAAACTGGTGGACTGGGAGCGCTGAGTGGAGCTGGAGGCTAAAGGGGGACTGGGAATATGGTTAGGTCTGGAGGTGGAGTTGGAAATGATGGTGGTACTCGCGTTTGGATGCTGTTTTCTCTATCCACACTTCACTCACTTCTCTTAAAAATAAAATTTACAGCTCTCTGTACAGCTCAGTAACTTTATGTTTTGGAGCAACGGATGTGTCATTCCCTCCACTTTCTATTTCAGGGCTTCAACGGTGCAATTTACTCCTCCTAAAACAAAAGCCTGCTTTTAGTGTTATCCGCTAGTGGTCCTGATTGCTTGGCTGAATAAGGAAATTCCCTGTCTAAATGCAGAGTGAAACCACCTGCCTTTACACCAAACACAGCCACAACACAACAAGAAGAAACTGCAGACTGAAGGTAGAAGGGACAGGATCTTATCTGACGGTCAAGGATAGGGAGGATTAAACCCGTTTCAGCCCAGGCTCAGGGACAATCCTGCTTTAACTTTGCTATCTCATGGCTGAACTCCCGTCTTTGGGACCTCGCTGACTCTACAGACACGGGAACGCATTACAAACAGCCCCTGGAACGACGCGTGGAATAAACACTGCGCCTAAACAGAACCAGATGTTCCTCCAGCTATGAACCGGAGAACGCTGTGATCCCTCTCTGGGCTGGGCTGATCCCCAGCGTCACCGAGGCAAACCAGCTCCAGCTTTAGGCCTTAGCAAAACAGGTCTCTTCCTGTGCCTCACAGGAGCAACTATTCCTATCCTGAGGCCCTTTATTATGCAATGTATGCATTTCATTTGGAGAATATTAACGCCGTGAGCGACTGAAATGGAGTCTTTGAAGTGACGTGATGACTACGGCGTCTGTTACTTAAGCAGAAGTGCGTAACAAGGTTTTAGCTTTATCCTTAAGGTGGCCTGAGCTGGATATTTGCTGGATGACAAACTCAGATTACAGCCTGCTTCCAAAGTGAAAGCACAAATAAAAGAAACAAAGAGTCTACAGTCATGCTAGCAGCTCAGTGAGGCACAGCAAGGCCCCAAGAACGCCCACTCAGCCTTGCAGACAATTTTTCCAAGTGGCAACTCAAGGTATTGCAGCAAAAGAATTCCCTGCAGCCCTAAGAGCATTTTCCCCATAGACCACCATTATAAAAGACACGTCTGTAAACCTGTTAACAGGATACCTCAAACTGCAACAAGGTCAATTATGAATCCTTCTACTTTAAATTTTTGAGCCAGGAGCTCAAGCCGAGAAAAGTATGTAGAGTAAACTATGAACCGAGCAGGAACTCGTGGGTGCATACTGAACTTAAGTTCAGTTAAGACAGTAAAAAATATGAATTTGACCCACTTGTGGTTCTTAAAGAAGGGACAAAGTTATTACAATCCATCCTGAAGGATACATAAATATCTGAGCCAGAATTCCAACCCAGTCACCAGAATAAACGTTGGCATTGTATGTTTCTGCAAACCAAGGATATGTCACATTTGCACAGTAATTTGTAGCAAATACGCTGTGGTTAACATGCAGTTAGGTTTAGGCACAAAAAACACTTGGTTATGGTTTGGAAAAGATCATTTTTGGGCTTAACAACCCCACAACAACAGCTGGAGGAGCCGTCAATGTCTCTGTGGAAAAACAATGATGGGTCACTAAAAAACAACTGTTTACGCAACACATTCTCACTCTGACCTCGTCACATACCGACATTTGGTCATGAACTTTCCACGTCCAGATACAACGTGAAAGGTACCCTGGGTGTGTTGGTTGTTGGCGGTCTGGGACACCGTGTCAAGTTCTGCCTGTCAAATACATTGTCTTCTTTCAAAATACACCTGTTTTCACAGGAAATTTGCTGTTTACATGCAGTCTCTTTCAAAATAAATGCAGTACAATAATTAACTTCTTTTTTTTCCTTCAACAAATAATGCATGTCGTTGTGTTTAGGAAAAAAGAATGGAGTTTGGCTTAATAATCTTACGCCACTCTCCAGGGTGCAAGTAGGTGTTTGTTGGACCCATCCACCACCCCTCCCACACGCCCCTGTAGGACTTTCGCTGTCTTAACTTTCGTTCTTGCCCCGCCGCATTTCACCCTGATGCCACCAAGTGCCATTAAAGTATAAGGGCTCATTTATGCTCCCTTTACGTACGAAAATGTATACGTCCGTTTCAAATGATGTTACCGTCACTGCCCACATACTTCCATGCGCCCTTTATGTTGGCATGAATGTTAACCAATATATCCACCAGGAGGCAGCCCAGAGTCAAAAGTTTATGACAACAACAAACTCAAAAACAAACATGGCGACTGTGGAGGAGATATTGATAATGTACCTCTTGCATAAAAGACAAGAACAGAGGCAGCGTTGTAGGAGGCAGTGGTCGGTGAGGCCATTAAATACATCGCGACTGGAGGACGGAGAATTCTTTTCTCTAGTATTGCCGATGAGAGAAATTGAATTGTTATTTCTTCTTCATGTCTCACTAGAGCTACGTATCGGGTAGTGACAGCAACACTGCCCTGACGGTTCCCGGTGGTACTGCTCCGTTTGGCCCGTATCCGTAAGCTTTATGGAAACGTGCAGAAATACGGACGAAATGAACGCAGAGCATGGACAGAAGGCTCCATCCGTATCCGGATCCGTATTTAACGTTGAGCATAAATGGGCCTTTATGGCGACTGGCAGTTGTCGTCAGTGTCTGACACTGCATGTCACTGCCCAAGCACCGCATTTTGACGAGTTCAGAGTGAGACCGGGCTGGTTTACTTTTAATTGCTGGTCTCAAACAGTGGTTTGCAGCTTGGCTGGCATCTCGCCCAGGTGTCACATCATCCACCATCCCCTCCACCTCTCAATGACAAAATCAGCTCATATAATACATCACTTTAAAAACAGTCAGTATACATACGAAATGTATAAATGTAACATATTCATGGCTTGTAGAAATGTACAATACCAACATTTTCCTCTGGCAACTAGACTTAAATTTCATGGCAAATAATTGTTGAGATAATTCAGTCTGCACCGATTGGACTGTGTTAGAATGACCATAGCGGCTGGATGATACAGTAAGACAGCAGTCAAAAGGCAATTGTACGGTGCACCATATCAGGGGTGTTTATTCACCAAACCAGAAAAAAAAACCACATACAGTGGTACAGGCATGGCAGCATTTACAGATGGGAGACCTGACCAGCAACAAGGACAGATGGAAACTGGCGCCTTTTATACCCTATCACTGGTGCACTTGATTGGATGCTCCCATTAACAGTTTTTTTTAACAAAATATATTATCTCATGGCTAATCACCACGGACAATATAACCAGCATACAATTACCATAATATTTACCATGACTGCTGTACTGCTATTTACCCCCCCCCCCCCAGAATAAACACAAACCCACTACAATAAATATACATATATACACCAACTACCAAACTCCCCTCTTCCTATCCCATCACTTGGTCTCTCCCGGGAACCTTTAAGTTGGTTGTTTGTACGCCCGGGGACTCTTTTGGCCGAACACCCTGGAGGAGACACAGGAAGGACAGGTAAGAATCTACACAAACAACTCAAACACAGGCAGCAACTTAAACACACAAATGAACAATTTCACAATGCAATATTAAAACACATTTATGTTATGTCTGATGAACCAAAACTCAACAGCACTTAATTTTAACTGTTGTCTATCAATTATGAACCTTGTAGGTACACACACAGTATTGTCGACTCTAACTCCCTCCCCCCCCCCTCAGGTGAAGCAGATCATCCACAACCGCACCTGGCAGAAGACAACACACGTCACCAATCACTACTCATCAATTTCACCATGGTTTGAAATGTTCATCCACATGCTTCACATATTCAATAAAGCTCATGTGCAAATATGCAATGTGCAAACTGCTCTGTGCAAATCATGCTAATAAAGTGCAACTATCACCATGAAAGTGCCCTGTGCCATTATTAAAGTGCCTAATTAAGTTGTTTGTTTAAAAGTGACATTCATACACAGACCCAGTTGTGCAATATTTACAAGGCCAAAGCCATCAGTCACTAGTAACGAAGGGCTCTTCGTAACAGACTGACGCCGCCATCAGTAGAGCCGCACTACACTGCTACAAAACATACTAACACCTAAAAATGTTATCTTTACAACATAAAGTCTGCACGAAATTCCTATTTTAAAATAAATTTACCTGAAGTGGGGTAAGTCAGGTTAGGAGTAAATGAAGAGCAACTTAAGCACATATTAGTGTTTGATAAGGATATCTGTATTGATACGACATTTCTATAGGTTCCGACAATATTTAAGTTCACGTAACAGTTTCTGTGTATTTTGAAGAGTAAATGGTAGAGGACTATACTGAAGTTATGTTTATATTTACCTTATTTATGTGTTAGAATACAGGCATAAGATATCTACACCAGGTGGGGTGCGGTAAGGCAGTTTAGTGCACATAACAGTAGGAGACTGTGGACAACATGTGTAAAAGACGACATGAAGTTTGTGTTGGTTTGGCTTGCAATAAGTTTTTGACCGTGTTATGCAGTGTTGAAGTATAATTACAGGAATACGATGAGAATATATAGAAAAAGGACATAGAGTCGCTAGTGGACTGGACAAGATGTAAGTTTGGAAGGACTTGGCCTGTCGTTTTGTTTTTCCTTTTTGGATTCTCAATAAACCTCGTTCAACTTTTTCCTGCCTCGTGTGAGTGCTGTAGATCTCCAGAAAAGGAACAGAAACTGAGACCACCACAATGTCTTTACAAAAACTAACAGAAGATAGAAAAAATCTTTATTAAACACTTCTGCAAAGTTACAAATTCTTCATACTGAAAGTATCTGCAAAATGTTCACTGATTACATATTTAATTTATTTTCCATACAATATCTTCTTATAGCAACTGAAGCATTATTTACATTTTCATGATCATATTTAGTTAACGTAGAATACTTTGATAAGGTTAAGGGAGGATCGACACTTTCTGGACTTGTTCCTCCACAACATACCTGGTAAAATCATTTAGTAGTATATAAATGTGATTTCTGGGAGACATTACTGGTAGAAGTTTGACATTTAGATTTGCGAAAGTAGACAACAAGGCCCTTGATATCTGAACCTGACGCACTAATGACAGTCCATAACTTTGGAGATGAAATCCTCGATGGCTGCCTTGGCAGGGAAGCTTGCTTTTGTTGTAACTCAAAACTTGGGCTGGGGAAGTTTGGAGAGGCAACAACTTTGTGGGATTAGTCTCCATGGCTCGTGTATATTTTCACTGAAAACAACAGATTTTCACATTCCGCTGCATCATTTATTCATCTGACAAGCATTATGGTTTCAGGCTGGCGTTATTAGATGATGCAAATATTTTCCTCTTGGGTGGAATCTGGCTCCTTTCTTTTTTTCTGCTCTCTATCTTTTCTTTTTTTTTGTCTCCTCCCCGGCTGAAGTTTTGAAATGAAGCGAGCATCCAGTTCACAGGGACTTCACTGGATCCACCCTCGTTCTTTGGGGAGGAAACCGCTTCCATTCCCTCCAAATTGAGCCTTAGAGCCGCAGCTCCGAGCCTGCTGTTACACAACCGGTGGGTTGGAGAGCAGCATACTCACGTGCTGATGTTAACTACATACGCAGCACTTTCCGCGGGTCAAACCTCAGCCTCCAAACCCACAGACTATCTATTAGACTCAAAATGAAGCTGTTCATTTGTGCTTGTGGTACAGAATTCCATTTGAGTTACAGTAAAAAACTTTAGCTTTGTCATGGTACAGTAGATGATGAAGATTCAGTCCTCGGTAAAGGCCAAAGCCTGTGACTCATGCAGTATGGCTGGTACTTATTATGCACACTCACATGTGGCCGTGCAGCACAAGCTATGGTGCACTGTCTTTGAGTTTCTGATGTAAGTCTGTTCCTTTTTCTGTTTAGTACATTCTGTTTATGCCAAGCTCACAGCATATGGAGGGGAAAGATATTCCAAGTTCATGACTTTCAAGCATTTCAAACACAACTCAGTACAGATGTATGATCACAGAGTTGGCTCCTGTGAGTGCTAAAAATACTGTTCATTGCAATATAGCCCTTTTATACATATCCACCATCTTCAATTTGGGTTAAAAGTGAGGGAAGGCAACTTATTTTAGAAGCATCTCTGTAATATTTGTTGAAATTTTCTTTACATCCCAATAGCAGGCAATAAATGAAATGCTCTGGGAAAACAAAAGAAAACAGTCAGGTATCTGTGGCTGTCGCAGGGACCATTATAAACCCGTTCAGGCCTTCTGTTCTGGCAAAATGAAATGATAGGATGGCTTACCTGTCTGTCAGACAGACAGAGGGAGTTGCTGTTGGCTGTTCTACAGATGCAGATATGCATGCACGTCCCTTCGGAGTGTAAAAGTCTGACTCAATGGCGGAGAATCCTGCAGAGAAAGTCACTGCTCCAGGATTGGAAACACTGCAGAGCAAACCAAAAAAAGGAAGACGGACTAATTAAAAAGAGAGTCTGACAATAAATGAGATAAAACATGTCAATATCGGCACAGTGTTTCAGAGATGGAAAGATGTTGCTAATTGTTTAGTCTTCTGCTAACCAGAGCCAAAGGCTCACAGCTGCATTATCAAGTTTATGTTTCTGTGGCTGCTACAGACCACCTCGACGGGAGGAGCGAGGGCAACAGGTCGGTACACGGACCCTAGTCAGAGGCTACAGCAGCCTGAATCCAGCCAGGGCAAACCCCAGCTCCAGGGCACTGGCAAGCCCCGACTCCCCACTGGAACAACAAACATGTTAGACCCCATGCTTCCGCTGGCCACCATCTCAGTGTAATGGTCAGCACTGGGCGGTTTGCAGTGGCCTGTCTCCGCTCTCCTCCCGGGGGAGCAGTCCATATCAGTGGAGAGCAAGGCAAGAGGACGACGGGGTGGCTAATGTCAGCTTGTTAATTCTTGTCTCATTTGTGGTCTAATAAACAGAAAAGGGAAAAATGGGCCAAGGAGGTACTGAGTCAATGAGCTGCATGTAACTGGAGGCTACAATGAAATACGATTAAATAAGTCAATATATGTATATAATGTACAGTACAGGCCAAAAGTTTGGACACACCTTCTCATTCAATGCGTTTTCTTTATTTTCATGACTATTTACATTGTAGATTCTCACTGAAGGCATCAAAACTATGAATGAACACATGTGGAGTTATGTACTTAACAAAAAAAGGTGAAATAACTGAAAACATATTTTATATTCTAGTTTCTTCAAAATAGCCACCCTTTGCTCTGATTACTGCTTTGCACACTCTTGGCATTCTCTCGATGAGCTTCAAGAGGTAGTCACCTGAAATGGTTTTCCAACAGTCTTGAAGGAGTTCCCAGAGGTGTTTAGCACTTGTTGGCCCCTTTGCCTTCACTCTGCGGTCCAGCTCACCCCAAACCATCTGGATTGGGTTCAGGTCCGGTGACTGTGGAGGCCAGGTCATCTGCCGCAGCACTCCATCACTCTCCTTCTTGGTCAAATAGCCCTTACACAGCCTGGAGGTGTGTTTGGGGTCATTGTCCTGTTGAAAAATAAATGATCATCCAACTAAACGCAAACCGGATGGGATGGCATGTCGCTGCAGGATGCTGTGGTAGCCATGCTGGTTCAGTGTGCCTTCAATTTTGAATAAATCCCCAACAGTGTCACCAGCAAAACACCCCCACACCATCACACCTCCTCCTCCATGATTCACAGTGGGAACCAGGCATGTGGAATCCATCCGTTCACCTTTTCTGCGTCTCACAAAGACACGACGGTTGGAACCAAAGATCTCAAATTTGGACTCATCAGACCAAAGCACAGATTTCCACTGGTCTAATGTCCATTCCTTGTGTTTCTTGGCCCAAACAAATCTCTTCTGCTTGTTGCCTCTCCTTAGCAGTGGTTTCCTAGCAGCTATTTGACCATGAAGGCCTGATTGGCGCAGTCTCCTCTTAACAGTTGTTCTAGAGATGGGTCTGCTGCTAGAACTCTGTGTGGCATTCATCTGGTCTCTGATCTGAGCTGCTGTTAACTTGCGATTTCTGAGGCTGGTGACTCGGATGAACTTATCCTCAGAAGCAGAGGTGACTCTTGGTCTTCCTTTCCTGGGTCGGTCCTCATGTGTGCCAGTTTCGTTGTAGCGCTTGATGGTTTTTGCGACTCCACTTGGGGACACATTTAAAGTTTTTGCAATTTTCCGGACTGACTGACCTTCATTTCTTAAAGTAATGATGGCCACTGGTTTTTCTTTAGTTAGCTGATTGGTTCTTGCCATAATATGAATTTTAACAGTTGTCCAATAGGGCTGTCGGCTGTGTATTAACCTGACTTCTGCACAACACAACTGATGGTCCCAACCCCATTGATAAAGCAAGAAATTCCACTAATTAACCCTGATAAGGCACACCTGTGAAGTGGAAACCATTTCAGGTGACTACCTCTTGAAGCTCATCGAGAGAATGCCAAGAGTGTGCAAAGCAGTAATCAGAGCAAAGGGTGTCTATTTTGAAGAAACTAGAATATAAAACATGTTTTCAGTTATTTCACCTTTTTTTGTTAAGTACATAACTCCACATGTGTTCATTCATAGTTTTGATGCCTTCAGTGAGAATCTACAATGTAAATAGTCATGAAAATAAAGAAAACGCATTGAATGACAAGGTGTGTCCAAACTTTTGGCCTGTACTGTATGTCATTCACTTATTTATTTAATCTTACTTAAAGGGAATCACTGGGTTACTGTATGAGGCATGTGCATGCCTTTGGTCGTCTGGCGGTGGCTTAGGACGGAAAGGAGAGAGCTGCAGGAGGATTTTTAATGTCTGCTTTTTTCCAGATTTCTGCCTGCTCCAGCTTAAATCACCTTAAGCGTCACATTTTGGCAAATGTGAAGCATATTCATTTGCTTTTTGACAA